AAAAAAAAAAAAAAAAAAAAAAAAAAAAAAAAAAAAAGGTTATTTTCTCTAATTAAAATAACTATAAAAACTAATTTATATAAATTGAAACAAAAAAGGAAAAAACTTAATGCGTATAATTAAATAAATATTTGTATTTTTTAATAAGAATCAGAATTTATATAATTAAAAATTAATTTAGAGGCCTATTCATCCGCGGGTCTCAACGGTCGACTACAGCTGTTGTACTGCTTTCCAGAATTCAACACCCATTCTGCTTCTCTCTGAAATTGTTGACGATGAAGAAATCTCTCGGTCGCCGGAAAATTGAGATAAAGAAGCTTGAGAAGAAGAGTAGCCAGCAAGTTACCTTCTCTAAACGCCGCGCCGGACTCTTCAACTAGGCGGCGGAGCTTTCCGTTCTGTGCGGTGCTGAGATCGCGATCCTCGTCGCCTCTTCCAGCAACAAGCTCTATACATTCGGTCATCCTAATGTTGAGTCGCTCTTGGATCGTTTTCTCACCGGAAATTCTGCTCCGCCTAAGCCGGCAGAGGCCTACCTCCCTTTGGAGGAGTTGAACCGCGATTTTGACGATGTGGCCGCAGAGTACGACTTCGAGAAGAGGCGGACGGCAGAGCGGTTGAGTAACGATCGATTTTGGTGGGATGAGCCGCTGGAATCTATGAAAATCGACGAACTGAAGCGATTCTGGTCATCGTTGGTGGAACTGAGAGGAAAAGTGGCGGAGAGAGTGGAGAAATTTACGGCAACAAGAAAAGAAGGATCTCCGATACCTGCGCTGCAGCCGTCGACACCTCTGTCGATTGACCTCGTCGAAAACCTCCAACGGCCGCCGACGCCTCCATCAATTGGCCTCTTCAAAAGTCTCCAATGGCCGTCTACGCCTCCATCGATCGACCTCGTCGAAAACCTCGAACGGCTGCCGACGTCTCCATCAATTGACCTCTTCGAAAACCTCCAATGGCCATCGACGCCTCCATCGATCGACCTCGTCGAAAATCTCCAACGGCCGCAGACGCCTCCATCGATTGACCTCGTCGAAAGCCTCCAATGGTCGCCGATGCCGTTGATTCACCTTGCTGAAAACGACCAATGTCTGCCGTCGTCGTTTCAGATCTCTGGAAACCACTCTGTCGCACGCCGACTGAATATGCTAGACTAGGGTTTTAGTAATTTGCTGCTGTTTTTCAATTTTCATGTCGCATGAAAATCATATAATTGGATTAAACTGATAGTGATTGTTTTCGCTGCATATTTTTTTCAAAGTGTTCATAAAATTCAACTGCGATGAAAGAAATTTATGAGAATGTTTGTTGTCGATTTATAATTCAAATGCATTCAATACTTTCGTGTATAATGTGTTCTTAATAACAACCAAGTTATTTATTAGGAAGCCAGATTTTGAAAAAATTCTATCTAAAATTAATCTTTTTTTACTCTAAAATTAAAAACTGTTTTTTTTTTTTAATTTTAAAAATGTTTTTAATTTTTTTTTTTTAAATTTGAAAGTATTTTTGAGAATGCAAAATTTATAATTTATAATTATTAATAATTTAGGGTTTGTTTTGAAATTAAATTTTGTTTCAACTTTCTCCCCTCCTCCTCGCTCGATAAGCCCTCGCGCTTTGGGTTTCACGTTCGCCCTCGCATCGAGGTGGTGATCGGCAGATCGTTTGCTCTCTCAGAGCACACAACAGCTCACTGCAGAAGATTTGCGGTTTGCTCATCCCCTTTCTCTTTCGATATGTTTATTGTTTCTTGATCTTTCTGTTAATGATCGAACCGAATTCAAAAAGGGAATTCGGATTTGACTGTAAATCAAATCTTCTTCCTGTGATTTTTTTTTTTAATTTCAGTCTCTGTTTTCCATTTTCGTAGATTATTGTGTTCTTCGTTGATTCTGGTTTTGTTCTTCTCTTGTCTGGATTAATTCTGGCATGAACGGGTTTCTCCTGTTCAATAAACGGAAGATTTTCTTCTTAATTTGCAAGTTATCGTCCTCTACTGACTGAACAGATTTCCGGCTCTCTTAACCTTTCGTTTTTTTTTTTTGTTTTTTTTTTTTGTTTTTTTTTTTTTTTT